CGGACACACACAGCGTGACTCCGGTCAGGTAGAGACCGGCATAGATATATAAACACTGTGTTTATATATATCTATGGAGCAGGGACGTGCACAGACATTTGGAGGGGCTATTGCTCTAAACTATAAAAAATATATAATGTTGGTAACTGTTGGGGAAATATTTTCCAAGGCCCATAACTTTGACCCAGTTTATCAGTTCAAACTGTCCTGACTGAGCACACGCACCTGTAACCTTGGCTGCTGTGCTCTCAGTGTTTTGTCTCGCTGTTCCTGCCTGTTGGCGTCAGCTGGTAGAGGTGTTGTGATTCTATCTTGTTATGCAGCATGTTGATTACTCTCTCTGAAGTAGCTAAATATATGGGTCTGGGGGAGAGTTCTTCAGATTTGACGTGGCAACTCTACGGTGAAGTCAGAACCTCTGGCTCTTGGACTTGTGATGTGAATTCTCCGGCCGAAGCTCCTAAATAAACCATCAGTGTTTGACATCAAAACTCCAGCTCTCCCTGTGTCTCCTTCATGAGTCGGTGACTCCCACTGCATTGCTACACAGAAGTTTTTCCCTTACAACTACCTTACAGACAAATGTAGTTTGATTAAAGTAACACGTTACTTTGAGGCGTATAAAGCCCATAACAGCACACAGAGGAAACACACTCACTGGCTTGCGGGTTTCCAGCCACCCCCGCCATGGCATGCTGGCTTATCTGCCCCATGGCCCCCATGCCAACAACGGGAGCCCCAGTAGGACGAGGCCCCATGCCGATGGCGCCCGGTCCTCCAACCCCTGTCAGGTTAGTCAGGGCATTCATGGGATCTGGCAAAGGATAGACAACAGAAAAATATTACCCAGCTCCAGCATAGTCAAATTCCAGACTTGATCTGACCAATAAAGTATTATCGTATCGTATCGCATACACAGCAGAAACCCTGAAACACCATGAGACTATATTGAAAGTAAAGGACAGCAAAGACAAGTGAGAAAACAACACAGCGCACTCACCCGGGCCTCCTAGGGTCTTCTTGTCTGTCAACGAGAGACATGTGATTAGAAACTCCTGCACTTACTGTGGAGCATGGAGTGGTTATTGATGCTTTAAATCATCTGGATTAATAGTAATTAAAATAATAATAGAAACATTTAAAAATAAAGTGATATAGTAACTGTTGAAACAAGATATTACGGTAAAACGTTGGTCATTTAAATAAATAAAGCTTTATTATTACCTGACATATTTGATGTCGACAAAATGTGAAAGATCTCTTAATCTTGTGTTAACCTTATTTTTCAGGCATCTGCCCAAAAAGCCATTCACTTCCATTTGAGGGAACAGGAAGTGATCACATTCTGACTCAATTATTGGTTTTAGGACTCATTCCTGTTCCACTTTATAATAAATTATGAAAAAGACTTTACAACCCAAATCCATACATTACATTAAAACAACTGTTTAAAATTTGTGTAGCATATGTAAATCAGTACCGCCCTATATTAAGAGTCAAATACTCACGAATGTCTCTGAAGTGTATGATCAGCCTCGCGACCAGAGATAAATACTCTTCCTGAGGAAAGAAAGAGGGAGAACTGTTACAACATCCATCATGAAAATAATCCTTATTTCATCTTTAAACTCCTGCTCTGAAAACATGTTTCCTGCCGTGGGAAAGACTCCCAGTACTCACTCTGGATTTGGCTTTTACGTAGACATGGTTCTCCATGTCATTGCTCGATTTGGTGTGTGCGGTTCCTGCCTTCCTCATAGCTTCTTCACTGGAATCATGCACATGGATGAAAAACTTTAACAACGTTTTATCATTCACACTATGGCTTTAGACGCGAAAAATATTCAATGCAGTTACACCTTTCTGAACATGTTAAATTATTATAAACTACACATTCATGAATCTTACTGCATCTTGTGTTTTGAATTGTATGCATGCACGTCTGTATGCTTTTATGTACCGGTAATGTTTAGGTTGAAAAGCACCTTTGAGTATATGAAAAATTAAATGCATTATTGATTTTATTACTGTATATAAATATATAAAATGCTGCAGACAATCCCATTTAAATAAACATACATTTTAGTCTTCTTTGATAATAAGCTTAAAGAGCAACTTGTAGGGTTTTTTTTTTTTTACTAGATTTATGCTTAACCTTGCCTGAAAATTACAATTAAAAAAGTTAATGCAGGATTTGATATGTTTCACAAGACATAAGGGCAGGAATTCAGAGGGAAAGGAGCCGTTTTGAGCTCTGCTACTAAGAACTGCTTTTTTTTAACGTCATTTTTTAGCGTCATATTACGTCACATGGGGGAGCAACTTTCTCGGACTCGTTCTCTGCCCAATCCGCGGTAGTAGTTTGTAGTTGGTTTGAGCGGTTGTGATTTAGTGAGCTGCTAGTTTTTCGGTAATTTTACATTGCATGTCACCATTTGTAATCATGGTGAGCTTGTGTTTGTGCAGGTTGCAAAACTTGAGCCTGTCAGTGTCAGGACATCGAGTCCACAGTTTCCCTAACAGGAAAAGGACCGGAGCTAGCTTTCGTTCCTGGGTGCGTTGTGCGCGGTGCATCCACCTCCCTGCAGCACATACTCTCCACAGCTGAGGCCTATCAAACAAAACGTTTATCAGGAAACCGTATTACATCTCTCTCTCTTCCCCCCTTCGCTCCTCTCTCTCTCTCTCCCGCCTTCGCTCCTCTCTCTCTCTCCCCCCTTCGCTCCTCTCTCTCTCTCTCCTCCGGTACACAGCACCCTAAGACGTAGTGTGGAGTTGCATTAGGTAGCGCGAGATACGGCTGATACTTGCGCATTAGTTTCTGTTATGGATCAGTATCAACAGTCCTGCCAATAACGTTACTATATTATCAATACTACTTTAGTTATAGCCTGATATATGATTGCTAACTTTACAATGCTGTGATGTGACCGACGTTAGCTAACAGCTGTCTGTAGCTAACGCCGGTCACTCACCAAGACAGCTGCCCAGTTCTCCACTGGTTCTCCACACACCAAAGCTCCATTTCTCGCCGATGGCCGTTATTTCTTCTAATCCTTGGCTGCTCCTGGTCTCTTGGACGCCTAAGCAGGCTCATAATTATAATCATATGCATTCAAATATATATTTTCAACCTCCGCTGCGTCAAAACTAGCATTGTGACCCATGTTTATTCATACGTTAGACCAGCCGCTCTACCCCATGTTACGTCACACGCGGGAGGTCACGTGGGGAGGCTTTTTTTATGCGGAAGTAAAAATGTCTTACAAAAACAAGTGTATTGATCATTTTCCTACACATTTATTCACTGGTGTGTCTAATCTGCAAGTTGCTCTTTAACATAACAATTATATAAAGGCTGGGTGATATTGTTATATTGTTTGTCATGATATCCGTCATGCATATTTCAATATCAATATATCACAATAAAGTGTGTCATTTTACTGTGTTGTTATCAACCTCCATATGCCCGTCTGCATGTTTGTTTACATAAAAACATCACATTGTAGGCACTATGAAAAATCTGCGAGTTTCCCTACTATTATAATATTTGGCCTAGTATTTTTCCATGTGTTTATTATTGTTGTGTAGTTTTATTATTAATATATATTTATTTTATTTCCTATTCTAATTGTAATGTCTGAATATTCTTTAAAATTTAAAATGTGTTGATAATGTAATTACCAGTTTGTAATTTTTTTAAGCCAAGCTTAATAGGTTTTGGTAACAGGGTTGCACGCATGTTGAGGGACACACCTATGATTAAACAAATAGCTTTGACCATTACAAAATACATATATCTACACAATTATTGCAAGAAAAGTGAATAAATAGCCAATTGTAAATGTTATATTTGATATGGAAGTTGGTCACCAAGGAGGGACAAGAGACACATGCATTGTTAGGGGGTGTTTGAGAGCTATTTGACCATTTAAATGATATTGAGAAACCACTTTTTCTACAACTTAATTTACATTTTGTGTAAGGACAAGTTTATCTGAAATAACAGGTGCATGTTCTGGGATTTTGGCCGTGCATTATTTGAAATGTCATAGGTGGGAAAGAATATTTCCTCCAATTCTGCAATGGCCCTTATATATATACTGTATGTATACCACTGTGGCCTGCATAGTAACGGTGATTCATATGCATGTATTATTAAATGTAGAGCCAATGTTTCCTTTAGACTTGTAGAATACATATTTATTTATGTTGAATGCGTGGATATTTTTGTTTTGCTTTATTTATTTTTATCTATGAAAAAAATAAATATATATATATGTCAGGAATGAGTAATGAACGTAGAAGAACGTAATGTGGTAGTACAAGTATGTCAAAAACACATAAATAAATGAGTTTGATATTCTGAGAAGAAACATATTTTAAAAAAAGTGTATATGAAATGTCTCAACACGAGTGATGCTTAAACGAGTAAAGAGTTAACTCTCTGTGTGGCCAGACTAACGTTAGTAGCTAATAATGCTAATAGTAAACTATGACTTATATATATCCATTAAGCATTGTTTTGTTGCTGCTATGTACGCCGAATTGAAGAGTGGGTACGGGTCTTGCTTGATGTATTTTCCGCTATGTTTGTGGACCTGTGCTAAGTTTAATATCATGCGAGTCGGTGTTAATTTACAGGTTTTTTAAGGACGGTTTGACGTGACGTGCTTTCTCTGCCGAGCTAACGTTAGCTTAGCTCAAGGGGCTATCGCAACAGTAACAGAAAGAGAGATTTAGCCAACAACAAAACACTGAAGGAAAATATCTCACATCTGAGCAACGACTTTCTGTCGGAACTGAGGGCTCCTCCAGTCGCTATCCGTCCCGGGGCCGTCCATCACAGAATTTATATATTTATGGAGGGTTTTTACTGCAAGAGTTTAATGTTTTCCCTCTGCGCTTCCTCCTTCCGCTCAGGGGAAAATGGCGGCTGATGTATTTTCTATGAATAAACGGTATCGCCGCCTGCTGGCAGACCGCAGAATCGCAGCTGCTGGAAAGACTTATCCAGAGACTTTACTGCAGTAAAAGTAAATACGCAGAGGTGGAAAAAGGTAACTCGGATGTTGTACTTAAAGGTGGGGTATGTAATTTTGGAGAAACCAGCTCGAGTGCGCTAGAATTTGAAAGTACACAACCGGAACAAATCTGCCTCTTCCTTCAGACTTCCTTACAG